CCCTATCAAGCGCATGACTGTTACAGGACAAGATGTAAAACAGAGAATGAACACTGATGAAAGGCTGTTTAATTCCTTTTTTTACATTTCTCAGACCATTTGCTTTATTACAGCAAATATGATGTAAATCTTCCTGAAGTCATATTAATAAATATTACATTGTCTGCCAAGAGTCTGCCTTGAAGCATTATACACTTCAGGGTGGTGTTTTACTACTACTGTTCTACAGGAACTCCTATTTTCACCCCAAAGACTGTTTTATTTTCTATATTTTTGTACTATATTTATGTACTATATTTTGTACTATCTTTTTGCTGCTTTGGAAGTGGAACAAGTAGTGTTGTAACATTTATCTTACTTTTTCTTTACTTATTTAAAGCATGTGATCATGCTGTCGCAGGCTCATGATGAAGTATTACAGAAGCACATTAGATATATCCTACCAAGGAGCTTCAAAAAGTGTTTTGGGGGAGTTTGTGGGCTCACCATTCCTTGTGACATAATGTTTCTGCAGTGTGCTGATTGCTGGATAATTTAAGAAGTTTTTATCTGTTTTTATTAATGGGCTTTTGTGTCTTCCACTGCTGTGATATTGACATGTCCTAATGTAAAGAAGTAGAGTTAATTTAAATTAATCTTAATACTTTTGACTAACTTTTATTCCAGATTTTAATCCATGTAAGCATAGGATTTAATAAAGTTCTGTGTGATGTAAGATGGACTTCAGACTTACCATTTCCTGATTTCCAGCAAGAGTCACAGATGATATCAACAAGAAGAGAATAAGAAAAGGTCAAAGATCCCGGACATCAGTATTTAGTTCCCACTAAATACAGGGGTAGATAATAATGCAAAGAACAGAGGGGGCAGCACATATTAAAGCCTCAATTACCATGCTTCTACTGCACCAGTTAAATTACCCAAACAATGTATATTATTAATTGAAATACAACATAAAGCAGGACCACAAAGATTTTAGATATATTTCGGGTTTGCCTTTTTTTTTTTTATGAAAGTGAATTTCAATAAAAGTTCTTTTTTGTTCCCAGAAACCTGAACAGAGACTTTGTTAAAAAGCTTCCAGCTCTGAGATATTCAGCTGCAGAGACTGCAGTGTAAGGATTTAGATAAAGGGCAGATGTGGGACTGTTTACTGTTGAATGTTTTTTTGAAAAGCAAAGCAACTGCACTACATATCTTGCCTGAAAAAGAAAATATGGAACTTCTTAAGGATCATATGTATCCTCTTATGGTAGTGGCTTTTTGAAGAATATTCTATATGTGGTGCAAATAACAAAAAACATTGCTGCATTTTGTATACAGCAAACATCACATTTCAGGGTTAGTATAGGCAATAAATTTTGTCTTTCTCTATAAAAGAGATTACTTATAGTTTTGATGATTCATCAGTGCTCAGGTATGACCATTTCTGGAATTATAATCAGAGATGGTAGGAGATGTGGGAGAAGGGCTGTATGGACTCTACATGATGACATAAAAATGATGAGGGTGACTTCTGCAAGATAAGTGCCATGATTATTACCCTTTTATCCTATTTTCTTGCTGTACACAATAAAGTAGATACATGAAAAAATATCCCAGGTTAAAAATTTATTTCCATGTCTCAAAGAAGAAGAAAAGAAAAAGATATAGGGTAAAATTTTCAAAAGCATTGCACTGATTTAGGGTCATTTCTAAATGTATAGTGTGCATAGCAGCAGGAGTCTACTTCTCTAATTCTAATTTAAAGACACATAAGCAATTAAATATCTGCCATCTAATCCTGGGTGAGGTGAGTTCTGTGTTTAGTATCTAACTCCCCTTTCAGGCATTCACACTGAAATTAGACCCGTAAACATCTTTTTGTTTCTTATTGCTGTGTATCTAAAAGCCAAAACTTTTAAATAGGACTAAACAATTTGGGAGAAAATGAATTTGTTCCTAGTTTAGTCCTGTCTTATTTGCAGAGAAGATAAAATCTGACTTGTAGGTTTACTGGCTTAGAAATAACAGAAGATTTTCTGGGCAACACACAAGAATAGTTTGAAATGTTCAGTGTCAGCCTAGAGGACACAAATTGCATACAGCACAGATAAAAACAAAAAAACAACACTTTTTTTTTCAGCTCTACACATGCAGACACACATGCAAAGTCCACAGTGTCAGTGTAATTTATAAAACAAGTGGGTCTATGGCTTTGGTAGAATTTAAATTATAGTACAAAAAGTCAGCTTTATGATATTTAGGATGAAACATGTCTATGCTTAGAGGATGTAGAAATTTTACATTGTTCTTGACAGCCTCAGAAAGCTCTCCAATATTAAAAGAATAGCTCTCAGGTTTTGTAAAGGTTTTTCAGAGAAAAAAGGGGGAAAAAAAAGAGAGTGTAAACCAAACCATATCTATTTGGTTGCCAGTGTGACTGATTTTGTCTTTAAAAAAAACGAGTGTATAACAAACAGAACAAATAAAACTGGAGATCTGGAAAGTTATAGCGTGTGTGTAGCATCTAAGCTGCAACTTTGAGCACAGATTCAGCCAAGGTTAAGAGTTATCAAGCCAAATCTGAGTGTTGCTTTTGGTGCCTCTGACTCCACCATTGTTCCTCTTATGCACAGCTGCCCATCGAAGGTCAGAAGTTTGTAAATCCTGTGGCTCTATCCACCTTTTATAGTGATGAACACTGAAGTCTGGGGTTTTCTTGTAGTTCTCCATATAGAGCTCTTCTCTACTTAGGCTGCTCTGTTGAACTTTTGCTGTATATATTTTCCACAACACTTTTCCCCATAGAAACCAGGAATAATAACTTTTTAAAAAGCTGTGGAAAATATTTCAAATAGCACCAAGCTTCTACTGCTTCCCCCCTCCAAGTGTAATGGCAATAAATATTTAAAAGGGACAGAGAAGTTATTCAAAGACCAGGCTGCATTTTCCACTACATTAAAAAAATCAAAATAGAAAATAGAGTCTTTGCTATTTCATTAACATTTTTTGGCAAATATATTTTGTTTAGATAAAATGAGCAATGTGAAATCAAAACAAAAACCAGCAAACCTTTCTTTTTTTTAAAAAAAAAAGGCTGGAAGCATAAATAAAACTGATCTTGAGGTGGTGTCAATCTGACCTTTTTATATGGTGGCATGAGTCCTTTTGCTAATGGCAGAGGAAGATGTCAGCTGAATCCAGAGTAGCTTTTTGTGTGGACACTTCCAGAGTACAGTTACCCTTCCTTTCCTGTTTAGGGAGTTAAATAAACCAGGAAATTTCAAGTGGAAAGTGCTCAGATGGGAGCCATGGCAAATGAATCCATAACTGCAGCAGCTGTTTGGTCATCTCCCTCACATTGGTGAGTCCTAATTTATTAAAAGAATAGCTTTTTCCCTTTCTGTGTAAACAATTTGGTGTAAATGACAGAGCTGAATGACAATGAACCAGATTTTCATGTTTGGGTAAAGAAAAATGTAACCATAAATGCTACTCAATTCTGTCTGAAGTTATATGTATTTTCAGAAATATCACACGATAATGCTGTATTAGATGATAATTAGATGCCTTAAAGATTCTAATTTTTATCTTTAATGAAACAGATATATAGTGGAACTCAGAAGCTTTAAATCTACAATCTCTTTTCTAAAGCATTGAACTTTAATGCATGAAAGAGAAGGGGGGGAAAAAAAAAACAATAAAATGTAAATGCAAGCAAAAGGTTTCAAGTGCTATGGAGGACCTTAGAGAATGGTCTCAGTTGCTCAGTGTAATGCAGTGCTAATGTTTCAGGTCATTGGGAGATAATAAAAGGCAGTAATTTTCTCTAGATCTGAGGTTTCTGCTTTCTTATTTTCATAATCATAAGGTAAGAATCATCAGAGAAAAAGGAGCAAGCTGGTTGTGCAAATTTTTTGATGAGTTCTGCTAGTGTTTGGCCTCACCCATCCAATTACATTCTCAGCTCAGAGCTCACCATAATCCCTTTTGTGACATGAAAACATCTTTGACCTCAATCCATGGAAACAATTTGCTCCCTGTGGTGATCTAGATGCAACCCCTGGATTCTGCAAAGTCTCAGCAAATTGTGTCTCAGGGGCATCCAGCTCTGGTACCTAACAACTGAACATCTGTGCTCGAAATCACCCTGTGCTACCACATGTCCTGTGATGTACCACCCAGTCCTGGACCTTTGCTATTTGTGGCCATGAGTTGTAGGGATCAAGTGAAACTGTTGTGGTGCAAAATCTCAAACTTGGTATAACTTGATTCAATGGTACTGAAAGAAAATGAGCAAACCAACCAACCAATTGCATATAGGCTTTCCTGGAACTTCTTTCTCTCTAAGGAAGCCTATGCAATGTATTTTGCAGCCAAAAAATATGTAAATAAAACTGTAAATAAGTTATTGTATTGAAAACTATATTCCTGGTAGGAGCATCAAACGTGTTTTGAATTTTATTTCAAGTTTTAAAAAATCCATTTCAAAAGAAATGGATCCATGTGATCAAAAAGTGAGGTTTGCCCTGTATTTTAAGCAGTCTATTAGGGATCTAGGGTAAAGTAAAATATTTTTCTAGACTTCTCTCTTCTCTTCTGCTCAAAATCATGGAAGATGCACAAAATTATGTGGTCAAATTCAAATTATCCAAGATCAATCCAATAGAAACGAAAAGCTGAATCTCCACAAGCCTGCCAAAAATTAGACTACCTTGTCTAAATCAATTACTTCAGTCTGCTAATAGCCTATGCACTGTAACTCAGCCTCTTGGAATCTTACTGCTCCAATGAGGGGAAAAATGAAAATAAAAGCAAGCAGAAGAAATCCCAGGGGACTGTAGCTTCAGGAGGCGAAAAATTGGTGTTTTTTGCTTGCCTGTGTCTTCCCAGTTTCCTGCCCCCTTCAGCGTATGAGAAAGACAAGGAGAGTTTGTGCACTTCGGAAACTCGATAGGAGGCAGCAGCTGATCTTCCCATCACCAGCCTAAAAATAATCCACTCCAGGGCTTGGAGCGGCTTCACTGAGTGGAGGAAAATCCTGCCATCGGGATGATATTGATCACATAGCACAACCGAGTGACAATTTGGGTTGGTATTTTGTTTTTGTGTTTATGAAGGTAAGCCACAGAGTTTGATCTAACATTCAGCAACCAAACGGGGCATGCGATGACCCTCCCCCATTCCCCACTAACCACCTCCTCCTCCTCCTCCTTCCCTTTATATCTGTGGGACAGGGCTGCTCCTCGTTCTTTCCTGGGATTACTACTCCAATCTCTTTTTCCTTTTCCTTTTCCATTTGCAAGCGTTCTCAGCCTTTACCATCCCCTCCTGCTGATGTTTTGCTTTGCTGCTGCTCACGGGGTTACGTTTCTTTTTTTAAACTGTCCTGTCTCTTGGCATGTGGAGTTGAAGGTTTTACAGCAGGCAGTGTAGCATGCTGATGTTGGAAATCGCATTGTGCTAAGAAGCTTACCAAAAAAAAGCAAAAAAAGCAATGTATTAGATGTGTTAGACCCCTGCAGATGTTTGTGTGAAATGCTTTTCGGTGCCAATAGCCTGTTTAGCACCGCTGCTGTTGTGACTTTTCTCTGTGTTTGGAACCTGATCCAAAAACCTACCGAAGTCAATGAGATTCTTTGCATTGGCTTCAGCAACGTTTGGATCTGGCTGCTGGTATAGGGAAGTGAGTGATGTGAATGCCAACAAGTATCAGGTAATTCATCATCTTAAGGCCCAAGGTAACTGGGGCAGTGCTCAGCAAGGAAGCAGGATCTGTCTAGAATAGGTGCTCACAGCTGAAAGAGGAATAGAAAGGAAAATTGTCTTTAGTACAGGATCACTTTTGCTAAAACAGATTTTAAAGGGCCAGCACTTTTTGCCATTTCCTTAGCAGAAATCTTTGCAAGTGATGCATAGGCTATAGATCACATAGATTGAGTTAGGTCCAGTGCTTTTAGTCAGGTAAGAAGAACAAGCTAGTAGGTTCATGCTTAGAAAGGAAAAGATTCAGAGGATTAACCTAAAGAGTTAGGCCTTCCATTGTGCTTATCCAAACCTATACCTTCGTAATTTGTCCTTAGTTAAAATTTCCCCTGTGAAAATCAAGAAGGAAAGACAATTCTTGAGTTTGTAATGACTCAGTTAGTCCAAAGATAAGAACCAACTACTGTAAAACTCTTGAATACTTTTTCCATCCTGCATCTGTATGCATGCACATATCTATCTATCTATCTATCTATCTATCTATCTATCTATCTATCTATTTATCTATCTCTCTCCCTCTCTATCCATCCATCCATCTATCCATCTATATATGCACATATGGGCATATAATTCATATTTAAATCTGAACTGAGACCCAGGTATGCTCTGAAAGCTGATATATTTTAATTGGGAACTGCAGCAATTAGTTTATATTTTTAAAAATATAGGCAACAGAACTACTGAAATAAATGTTTTTCAAAATATTCTTATTTACCCTAAACAAGGTCCACCTGAGGAGTGTATTTATACTCTTTTCTTTATAGTCATAAGTCTCTTACAGAGTTTGGTAAACAGGGTGATATTCCAGGTAAGATGAAACTCTTGAATAGAAAAACTTTCCTGTCCACTTTAAAAGGCAATTAAAGGTAATTAAAACGTCTTTAACTAGAATTCTTACAGTTTTGGACACAGTGAGGATGTTCTTGTAACTTTCATGGAAACTTAAATTGTCTACCATTTTCCCATTGTCTTCTTCACAATTGCTCATGGAAAATATATCTCAGGAACTGGCTTAGTGCCCTGAGAATCCTTTTTCTTCTTCACAATGAATATTTATTCCTGAATCTATTTTTTACTGTTTTCTGTGTATTACATTATGACTATGTCTGTACCCTTAAAATAACCAGAATTTCTCAGCTTGACAGTGATGGGGATTTTAGCATGGAAATTTAAATACTTAAAAGAGATACATTTTTTAGCTCTTTCATTGCAGGGTGAACTGCTGCTCAGATAGTTCATAAAGTAAAGGTAGTTTTAAAGTAAAACAATAGGGAGTCAGACTCTCAAAGTATATAAAGAAGATATGATACTTGCCTTGCAGTGGCATTATCATGGGCCCATCCTCCTGATTGTTCTTTCCATTCCCTTCCTCTGTGAAGTTTTGCTTGTGGCTTTAGCTTGTTGCTGACTGCTCAGCAAAAGCCATTCTCAAAGGGAGAAAGAAGAAGCACCTCTGAAAATTTGTGACCATTTCTAGAGTTTGTGAAGACTGAAGTTAAAGTGAGCAATTTGTCAATAACTTGGAAGGACAAAGACCTTCCAGCCTGCAAGTGTTAAAACAACAACAAAAAAATACCCATACCTGGTACTTGGCACCCCTATTGTGATGCTGAATGTAGCTAGACCCCCTCAGACAACACATATCTGTTATTGAATGGTCTTTGTCACATCACTGCATTTCCTCTGACTGAAGTGCTAGGTTAGACCTGCTATGCTTGGCATCATTGCTATAAAGTATAACTTTCTTGCTGCAATTAGTAGAGAAGCAAATATATTGTGATGTACACCCTTGAGTGTAATCATCCCAGCATAATTTGGTTGTCTACTGTGTTCAACAGGAAGGGAAATTACCATTGGGGAAGCCATTTTATTTATTTTACAATGTTTTCTTGTTACATGAGTATATGAGGATCTCAGCAGTTATTCTGAATGGCTGCTACTACCCTATGAGAAATAGTGGTCAATAATGCCAGATGACCAACAGATTTCAAAACAACTTGCTACCCTTTCACTTGCTCTATCCTGAATATTCATGTTTGGGTTATGAATTTTATTATTTTAATGTAGCAGTCAGAGTGCTCCCATTTTTTTCAGACATTGCTGTTTGCTAGACAAAGTCATCTGCCTGTAAAGAAGCCTTAAGCTCCAAAGGTTCCAACCTGAACGTGTACTTAGAGAAAGGCCTTTAGAATTTATATGAGAAGAAGAGACCTTTGCTTTCTTTGATCTCTCCCTGAATATTATTGTGGACTAAAAAAAGTCTGTCTCCTTATCTTTGGTAAGGATAAAATCACCTTTGGCTACACTGAGTGAAACCTTGACTTAGTTCTGTATTCTGACTTGCTTTGGACTAATTCAAAGATCTTCAGCAGGGCTGTACATGACAGGGCTAGACTGTTGTTTGGTGTGGTCAGCATTCTGTCTTTGACAATGATCAATAACTGGTGCTCAGGAAAAATATAAGAAGTCTTCAGTGTGTTTGGTTATATACTTGCACAGTACTCAGCACTGAGAGCAACAAGCAGCACTTCCTTGCACAGTCAAGGAACTCACCTCTCTACAGGTCTAGTTCTGACTGAAGCCCAGTACTGGCTTACTAGAAGAGTTAAAGCAAATATAAGAATAGTTAAATTATTATTAAGGGAACAAAATTCATCAGTGATCAGTCATAAGCATTCCATCTTCCTTTCTAAATCCAGCTGCTGGTTTTGATGAGTTTCAACAGAAAGCACAACTCTAATTCTTTATGTTTTTTTTTCTAAATGTGTTGTTCTTCCATTTCACATTTTGATTTCCTGAAGTGAAATCTTACAGTCTTACAGAAGAGGAGGGAATAGTCACTTTTCACTCCACCTTTCGCTGCTATCTGCAGTCAAGATCTTCCAAACTGCCTTCATTTCCAGGCTCAGTTTTTTGAGTGAAAATTTTCAAAACTGGGACTCATTAAAACTCAGTACAGCTGAAGCCTTTTAAAATTCTTCAACGTTTTTAGCATTATTAAAGATCTCTTTAGTCTTAACTCCCAGTTATATTATTTGAAAATATAGCTTAGAGTCTCAAATTAGTCTGAAGCTTTTGACTATTCTACCTGCACTGTTTGTAGCCCTAGGAATGCATTCATCTGTAGCTAAACTGAATTTTTCAGCTGTGGGGTCTGAATGTTGGCACAAGAAATTTTGCCATCGTGTTATCAGATTTTCCTTTGAAGAAGACTGAAGATTCTGCTGTTTCCTTGGGTGACCAACTGCATCTAGAAACATGTCATGGTCCAATTCCTGCTAACACTGGTGCATCTGCAAGCGTTGTTGTAAAATGCCCTATGCTATCTAGAGAAATCAAGGACCTACTCATGGGCAAAACTGTTGCATCAGATCTGTGTTCTGCACCAGAAATAGATAGGAAGGGAATCATAGAGTGGTTTCTTGCTTCCTGTGAGGCACACTAGAGAAAAAATTATATCTTAGAGCTCTAAGGGACTGCAGTGTATTTTCATACACCCTCTTGAAGATGGAGAGAACTACTAGCAGCCTGTCTGTCTAAACACCAGAAAGTATCTAGGAAAACAGGTATACATCAACAGATGCAGAACATGAGTCCTCCACTTTCAGTTCATTTGTAGCATCACGTTGATAGACAAATGGATGGAAGAGAGGATGCAAAGGAGGGAGGAAGAAAAGAAGGATGGAAGGGAGGGAAGAAGGCAGGGGTTGAGGGAGGAAAGCAGGTAGGAAGGCAGGCAGGAAGGAAGGCAGGCAGGAAGGATCATGAAGCTGTTAATGCTTCTACAATTCTTACCTTCCTATTTTCTATCAGTGCCATACTGCACTAGATAAGTGTCCTGAAGTGGGTGCTGCTGAAAAGGGAAGTTGTAGCTGGTGAACATTTTGTGGAGCTAAATCAAAAGCTGCGTTGGGTCAACCCAACATCATGACACTGATGAGAATGCTTTGATAGCTTTTAAGCCTGTGGAGGTTTAGTGAACATGGTCACTAGATGCCCTGATCAATGATGATGTGTTTTCTGTGTTAAAAACTTGGCAATTTATTGTGAATTATCTAATTGCATTGTCAAAGCAATATTTTTTATTTTCTTGGTTTTTTTTTTTAACAAACTTACCAGCCTAGGCTCCTTGATTTTCTATCTCATTTTAAGAGAAGACCACTAAATTCTACATCTTTTTTGAAATGAACCTGTAACAAAAGTATTGTGAATAGACTGCTTATACTTCTGAAAGTTATAATCAGGATGATGGGCACTGTCTCTATAAATTGGTATTAACAATAGGACCAGATTCTTTCTTCAGCCCTGCCAGGCAGTTGGTTTTAGGTGTGTTGTTGGACATACTCCATCACAAAATGAGGCACAGCACAGGTTCTTGTGAAGATGCAGATGAGATTCTTGAAAGATGCATCTTTCTTGAGAGCTTTTAGGAACTACTGTTTGAGGTGTGATATGAAACCTCTCCAAACTGATGGTATGTCCTAGCTAGCAGATAGTACTCTCCATGCAGTTAATAGTCCTTTCTTTCACAGGAATGTCTACTGCCTATATTCCATCTCCCTTCTAGAAAAATGGGAAAAAACAACAGTTCCCATAGCTTCTCTTGGACATAGTTTTAATATTTTCTCCCAGATTTATTTTTGACTAAAAGCCAAAAGCTACACTGGAAGTCAATGATGCAGTGGTCATTTGAACCCCGGATCCTCCTGCCTTTCAGTACCAATCCAACAGCTAGACCACAATAGCATCTTACAGTATCTCAGAAAAAGAGTCCTGCTTGTGGGAAAGGGAGGGAAATTCCCAGCAGAACTCCCTTGGACTTCTGACCTTCGATAAAAATGAGGAAACAACACTTCTGAATTTCAAGATATTATCATTACCATTCTGTTTCTGTTAAAGGAGACATGCCAAGCTTTTACAAATTAAAACCAAAGAGTCTCCCTGTAATTTTTTTAGAGTTCCATATTAATTTTACTAATAATTCCTCAGTTTATTCAGACAGAATTCATATTAATGGAATTTTTATGTTACTAGTTATATGCATTTATGATCATCATTTTCTAAAAAATAATAGGATGGTGGTGGTCATATCTCTATTCATTACAGAGAATGGGGCAAGTTCTTCATCAAATTGTGTTCTACTGAAGATTGGGTTGCCCATCAGCTTTTGCACCACAGTAAGTACATGTATGCATTTTTGCAGGATGTGGTCCACCATATGGCTCTGAGTTATGCTTAACTTCTGGCAAATCTCAGACCGTAAACTGCTGATGTGTTTGGAAAAGGGACTGCATTTATCACATTCTTTTCAATGAAAGTCCTTTATAAACATCATGGATGTAATTCAGTATGGATTATGCTTTTCAGATCCAGCATAAAGTTAGTCAAAAGCAAAAAGGGGTTTTAGCAGATGTTCAAAGTACCTCTTTGAAGTCTATTCTTTTGAAGACCTAGGTTTCTGTTCTCTCTGTGAGAATACTTGAGTAATTTATGCTTGAGTTGTTTAAACAACGAGGCTCATAGAACTTATCAGAACTATTTGAGGAAAGAAAGCAAGCAAGCATTTTTTTCCTCATTCAATTAACTTTTTTTTTTTAAACTGTGTTTGTGCGTTTTTTGCACATCTATATTGTTCTAATTCTGCAAAACATCAATGCCAATGTTGTTGCAGAAAGATGCATTCACCAAAGTATACATATATTTTATTGAATTAAATATATTCTTTGAATTTTAGTATGTAAAATTTGGAAAAAACTATGAGAGCAGAAGAATTTACACAACCTATTCTGCAGCACTATATTCTTGTGTATAAGTTTCAGGCAAAGAAACCAGCAAGTAAATATTTTGTTTACCATTTTGTTTCATCTTGTTATAAAGAAGAATTAATAAATAAATGATAGACAGATTGATAAAAGCCAGAAGCTGGCCACAAATCTGAGCTATGCTATGGCCCATACTCTTCAAACATGAATGCATGAGCTTATCTTGGTGTACAAAGATAAGCTCATAAGAAATCATGGAAGTCAGAGAAGTTTTTAGATGATGCTAAGCACGTGCCAGAAGGATTTGCAGGATCAAGCATAAATGCTGATTTACTGCTTATGTAATCTTCAATACAACCTACTTTGATTAAGAATTTGGCAGCTATCAGTAACGACTAGTGTACAGGACCATTGTTGTTCTATGGGACAATGAAGAAATACAAGATACTGGTGAATGCAAAGCTGCCACTTTACAAATATCAAAGGTTCAAAGCTTGCACTGAAGATTTAGTGCAACAAGTCTTATCAACAGAAGTGTTGCATGGATAATGTTAGATCATCAAAAGAAGCAGTAACACACAAGTCAGCTTATATGCATTTGCCTTTTTTTAAGAGAAACTAAAAGTTATTTTTTAAGAATTTTTTCGTCCTTTCTCTATATTCTCATAAAGAACTTGCAGCACAACATTTATGTATAAAATTAAAATTAGAAGTTGTGTAATGTATTAAATATCCTAAACAGTAAATTTAACAGCAGCAGCCTTCATTCTAATATGCGTACACATCTACCCAAAAGCATTTCCAAATTACAGCTCAATTATTCTCTATGGGTTGTTCAGCGTGCTCCTTCTGTATATCTTTATTTCTTTTGTGTTTAGCTAAAGGGAATGCTGGAAGATTTGGTAGTCAACTCTTCTCTCTTTTTGTAGCAGTCAGAACTTCTGGAAGCGATGACTCTTGCATTTTGTGGCAACGACAATGCTTCAGCCTACAATATCAGTGCTGGTGTCCTAAGAAATGTCTGCTTTGTGGATGCTCTCAACTTGGTTCCTCATGTCTTCTTGCTCTTTATCACCTTCCCTATTTTGTTCATTGGTGAGTTATTCTGTGGAACTGTGCAATCCTATAAACACTTGAACATGTATTCATACTCAGTTGTGTTTATATGGGCTTGAAAGCCTGTAGTGCAAACCACAGGATGCTTTCTATTTATTAGTTTTAAAATAGTAGAGTGAGAATGTCTTGACCCAGATGACCCAAAGCTGACCTTCCTGAAATGGTGGGAATTTTCTATACAAATCTGAACTAAGGAGCATGAAAAGATGGATGAGAACCAGAGAAATCACATCCAAATGCTTTGAGATTTCTCTCTGGAGAGTTTTTCTTCAGATTTGAAATTAGCAACTTGCAACTTTAGCTATTATTAGATATTAGAAAATTAGGACAATGAGTCTGAATGCCCTTCAAGTTATGTGGATTTCAGAGAATATCAAAAACGTACAACTTGGATCTAAGGCTAGGAGAAGTGTAGGAAACTTTTAAAATGGAATGATTACTTCTTTTGCCAACACTGATAAACAGAAATAGAGGAAAGGAGATAATGTTTTCCAAGAGGAATGAAAATAAGAAATGATAAATCTCTCCTGAAGAATTTAGTACAGTTGAGTGTCTCTAAATATTCTTGAAAAAAAAAAAAAAACCAGCCCAACATTTAAACTAGTACTCTAATGATGCTTTTTATATATAGTGGTCTCTTTGTCTTAGTTATTTGCAATGAGGAAATAAATGCAATTGAATACTTTTCCAGAGCTGTCAAACAGTGACATTCTAACTGATTGTAGGAGATAAAGAGACTTGAATAACTGTCAAAAAAGCAATAGGTGTTAATAAAAATAAATATTCTCTTGACAGCTGCATGAGAAATGGCATGTCACTTTGTCCATGTCACCTTCCTGGTATCATGTAGACAAAGTGATACATTTCTTCCACAAGGAAGACTTGAATTTGGGACTAGATTTGAGCTAGAGCTTTAAGGACTTCCATTATGCAAAAAGAACTTGAAGTGATTGAATAATAGGCTACAGGAACTTGAGAGTTAAAACACTCAGTACCTAGCAATCAAAGGTATGACAAGATTCAGTGACTGAAAACTAATTAAATAATTAAGCAAGGGAATAGGAAACAAGATCTAACAAAAGAATAACCAAAGCCTACAAAAAAAAAAAAAATAAAACCAAAACCAAGGGCTATGGAGAACTCTCTCCAACAGTGCTAGATCTTTATGCCAGTGCTGGCTCTTCCTTTGAGAAGAGATCCAAGCCAAACTTGACCTACAGGGCTTTCTGCAGAAGTGCCTGATGGAAACTCAGTGCAAGGTCTGAGGGCAGAGGTAATCTTTTGCAACCTTCTGTGTTAGGCATCAAGTTGTAGCAGGCTGCTTTAATATTTTTACAGGTATTAGCCAATTAATTTTCAAATAGCATTGCAGCCACTGAAAATTCCCTTTGCTTTCTAACCATGATAGGAAAACAAATAATATCTTAAATTACATGTTAGCTATGTATGTATGTATGCAGTTTGTGGTTTTCTATTTTGTACCTTGATTATGAGGACAAATAATTGTTGAACAGAGCATTAAAAGCCAGCTGGAGTCCACAGTATTGACTGAATCCAAAACCAAAGGTTGCTGGTGAACCACGTTTGTGCAGATGTATGGGCAAAGAGGAAATAAAAATGAAAATTGGCTTGGAAGAGACAAATATAGGAGCAAGGTCAAAGAAAGCCAAATTAGTTTAGGAAAATCTCAGGAAACTATAGCAAATACTTGAGATAGATAAGGAGAGGAGAGAATATATTGTTCATGCAGCACTTTGCTTCTTAAACAAGAATGAAATGGTGAAATCCTGATAGTTTACAGGGATGAATAAACCTGGGCTTTGATTTATGTGTTTCTGAGTCACCTGATGAGACTCTAGGCATGGTGAGATGCTGCATCCTTGTGTATCAAAACCATATTCTGGATTTTAAACTCAGTTCTGCGGTTACTGAAAGAAACAGATGCAATGCTCGCTGCCCTAGTTAACTTTGGTTTTGTTGATGGTTTGTTTTGTTTCTTTACTTCCTTGGAATGTGCTGTTCTTGGGATTCTCTATGGGCTTTGGGAAGTCTGTCAGGGAATACCATCAGCTGCCTTACAGTAAAAGGGACATGTACAGCCATGTGGGGTGACTCAGGACAGCCCTGTACCATGGAGGGAAGGGCCAGAGGCCAAAGCAGTATAAAGGACCAGGCTCACCATCATGAGAGGCTAACTTCTGATCAACCCTCAGCTCCTTGGTCCTTGGACACCAGGTCCTTGGTGTCCTGCTTCTTGCCAGGTGGCTGGCTCCAGCAAGGATCTTGCCTGAAAAGGATAGATGCCATCTGAGCTGATGACATGGCAATAGGCTTCAAGAATAATTTGCTGAAAGAATGAGCTGAGTCCTGGTGCTGTGCTGGGAGCTTTAATGTGCCAGGAACGCACTGGGCAAGGAGGCTGGCTGTGCCTAGGGAGCTGAGACTGGGAAACTGCCATCCAGCATCCCCTGAGACAGACTCCCAACCAGGCTTGGGACAGAGAGAATTCAGTTTATTGAGGTAAACATGTGTCTTTGAGGCCTCATTGGAGAATGCAACTTTTGTATCAGTTGGAAACTTTGCCCACTCTTGCCTGTGATTAAGCAAACCACCATGACACCCTCACTTAAGATCTGCAGTCCCTGTTGTGTAAGAGTGAGATGTTTCTTTTGGTTTTCTCATCTTTGTTCTTCTTTAGGGGCCTCTTAGGGAAGTCTGTTGTCCTGTTACCTGCAGGGTCAGATCTAAATTATCGGGGGCTACGTGGCAGCTTAGACACTCGTGGGTCTTCTTATTAGTAACAACAGCTCCCAGAGTCTTGCAGGGTTTTTGTGTTGATTATATACTACTGAGTGTGACCTATGGGAACTCACTGGCTGGCTGTGTGATAACCTTCCTCTTTCACCACTGTTGTTTCCCAGGCTGGGGAAGCCAAAGCTCCAAAGTCCAGATTCACCACAATACGTGGCTGCACTTCCCTGGCCACAACCTGCGCTGGATCCTGACCTTCACCCTCCTGTTTGTCCACGTGTGTGAAATAGCAGAGGGCATAGTTTCTGATACGTAAGTCACCAGGTTGGGTGGACAGCCAAGCTAACTGCATGTGTTAATGTAGAGTGTTTTAAGTGTGATGGGCTGGCTAGTAAGGCACAAGGAGTTTTTCCCCAAATAAGGCAGGGCATCATTTCATGAACTCTCCATATTTTAATAAGATGAAGGTAAAAATAATTATTCTTAGCACTTAGTTATTCTCCTTTCAAGTTGCAAGGGCAAGTAGATATTGACAAAAATAAAAGCATTCTCAGGGAAAAAATATTCTTGTCTCTAGGAAAGTCATGTTTGTCCTCTTTAATAGATTAACAGAATGCCTAGGAATATAACAACAGTGAAAAAAAAGACACAAAATTCACTAATTTCTACCTCATTTGTTTTCAGACAAATGAAATCTCGCCATCTGCATCTCTTTCTGCCAGCTATAATGGGATTTGTGGCTGCCACAGTATCCATAGTCTATTACCATAATATTGAAACATCTAACTTTCCAAAGTTATTGTTGGGTAAGTCTTAGTCTGATATTTATGTACTTTTAAAAAACCCAGTAGTTCAGCCCAAGCTGGCTTATATAGATTGAAAAAAATCATGAAAAGTGTGAGAATATTGCAAAAGAATAATTCTTTGTTCTTCAAACTATTATTATTGTAGGAGTTGTTGCACCTTTTATAGGGTATACACTGTTTTAAAAATGTCTTAAAACTTCTTAAAAACGATCACAAAGGGAAAAGCGTCGTATACCTGTTGTATTTCTAGCAAAAGATTTTTAGGTATTTTTTAATGCTGCTTATTATTTTGAAGAAAGAACTTACCTCTTTATTCAGAAGGGATGCTTTAAAAGGCCACTTATAATAAACTGATCACAAACCGTATTGTGGAGGTGGCTGTTGTTTCTCAGCATCCTTTGCAGTTGATTCTGAGATTACCCAGTCTGCTCTCTCAGTCAGGATATGGTCAGAAGAATTTGATTAGACATTGTGGGATAATGTTTCATGCAAGTATATTGTCCAAATTCCCTACAACTCAACAACGTGAGCAAGCCATCAACAGATATAAGCCAGGATGCAAGATCTAATTAATAGAGTCATAGTATCATTAAAGTTGGAAAAGACCATCAAGTCCAACCATCAACCCAACCCTACCATGAACACTAAACCATGTCCTGAAGTGCCACATCCACACATTTTTTCAACCCCTCCAGAGATGGTGACTCCACCATCTCCCTGGGCAGTCTGTTATTTTAACTATATGAATTATTTTTCAAAATGAGCATATTTCTATATGCTCACATAGGATGCACTTTGCCTCTTCAAAGGGGTGATATGATATTTGTCAAGTTAAGTGACTTTTACTTCATTTTAATAACAAAGTTCCCCTTCAGATTACCTCAGTGGACTTTTGTAATTGTGTGAAGACCCACCGTTGTGGATCTCTTTGAAGGGTGATGATCCAGGAAGGAAAACAGTGATTAAGAAAAAAAGAACCATGCATGTTCATCTGTTTTACAGCTCTCTTTCTTTACTGGATAATGGCTTTTGTCACCAAGACAATCAAGCTTGTCAGGTACTGCCAGGATGGTGTGCCTTTTTCTCAGCTGCGTTTCTGCATCACTGGAATTCTGGTCATTCTCTACGGGCTCCTGATGGCCGTGGAGATCAATGTTATCCGAGTTAGGGTATGTATATTCTCAACTGTGATCATTAAAAATATAATTATATCCTAGGAATTCTTTTTTGTTGTTGTTCAGATAGAGACAGGTGGTACCAGTAGACTACAGAGCTGTGTCCATATCCCATAGTGTTCAAATTCTTGCCAGTTATGCTGTCAGAATGGAAATGCTCCTATTTACATGCAAATTTATATTTAAATTCAATGTATAATTACCTCTGCATGCAAATTTGACACTGTAGTGGTATCATACATAATTTTTACTAAAAATTATTGTTAATAAGCTAATTCCTGAGCACATGCTGTCTATTTTCTCCTCTCCAGAGGTATGTTTTTTTCATGAACCCTCAGAAAGTAAAGCCACCAGAGGACCTACAGGACCTGGGGGTGAGGTTTCTGCAGCCATTTGTCAATTTGCTCTCAAAGGCAACTTATTGGTGGATGAATACTCTCATTATATCTGCTCACAAGAAACCTGTGGACCTGAAGGCGATCGGAAAGCTTCCAATTGCAATGAGAGCTCTGACAAATTATGTTTGTCTCAAAGAAGCATATGAGGAACAAAAGGTAACAGAAAATGTCCATGTCACTGTTTGGCCCAAGAAATTATAGCGGCCCTTCAAAATTTTTTTGCTTCTATGAAACCTTACTTTTAGGAATTTTTATCTTAGGACTGTTTGTTCCAAGGTGAAAATTGGCCTAGAAAGTTCCAATCTGATGGTTACTGTTCGGTTTTAAGTGAATTTACAGCAGGGGAGAGTTGCCAGGTTGAGAGCAACTGGAAACTAAAACCATAACAGTCTAATCACTCACTAGACTTCATTTTAAAAGTGAAAGCTTTGTTTAAATCTTAGCTATTTGTGACAGCATCTTAAATTAGAAGACATTCTGTCCCTAGTTTCAGCTGGAAACACTCATCTTAATTTTTTTCTCCACAAAGAGAAATAGCCAAAAACACACATTAAGAATAGCCAAAACACCAGTGTCTTGTCAACAGCATTTTAGTCACCAGTCTGAAACACAGCACCATACAGGCTGCTAGGAAGAAAATTAACTCCTTCCCAGCCACACCCAGGGCAAAACCAAAGTTGGGCAAACTTTGGGCAGGGCAGGAGTTTCCAGAGAAATTTCTGGATGCATTTAGGCAAAGCTGTAGTGTTTCATTTGTGCTTAAAGCTGGTGGTTTCTGCAAAAGAAAAAAGAAAGAATTTGTTTTGCAGAAAGGGGAAAGGATTCAAGAGCCTGCCTCCTTGATTTGTATAAGTTCCTGAATATAAACAGGGAGAATACAGACATTCAGAGGCCACTTTGGGAAATGTAGCATGTAGGACAAAAGCAGATAAATCCCAATCCTGCACACACCAGGTAAACAGGTTTCCATGCCATGTAGAGTTTAGAACTGCAATGTGAGGAGAAACCAGGAGGAGCAACTCTCTGCTCCAAGGAAATGATGGAGCTGCAGGCTCCTTTCTGTACTCCCCAAAATGAAACCATAGTCAGTACAATTGTTTGTATTTTAATAGTTTTAGGCTGCTTCTCTTTCCTTTTGTAGTCAATGCTTGCAGGAACTAGAGACTAGAGACCAAGACACTTCTGCTGCAAGCAGAAAACTCCTGAGTCATTGGAACTGAGCTTTCCATATCAAAGGAGAAGTGCATCCCTTCTTGTTCTTGATGCCTAAATCCTGCTTAAAGATACTAAAGAATCTTAGGCACCTACATGTCCTGAGGATCTGAGTCTCTGTGCCATTCTTAATGACAGGCATGATTACAGGGTGCAAGCATTTCATTTACATCTGCAGATACTGTGTGTGCCTGCACAAATACATAGTTCAGGTGTCAAAAGGCATTACTTGTGCTATTGCTCATGGGTGTGAACACAGATCTTCAGTGTATAGCTTCCCTTGGTGTGTGTTGTGCATGTATGAAGACCATACAGTTCGATGCACCTACCTTTATAAAGCTAATTACATCAGATGTTTTGGTTTCTGTAGCTAAAGTCGAGATTACCACAGCCTCTAGCCCATTTGTGCTAATATTCAAAACAAGGCTGAAACCCCAAAGTAAATTGATACTTCATAGATAAAGTTAAAGTAAGCCAAAGGGCTACAAGCAATCCAAAGAGCCAGGCAGTGGAACTCCCTGCAGTTTACTCTCATGGAGAAATGTGTTGGTTTGCACATAGCTGGGTCAGAAAACAGCCACAGAGTTCATAAAATTCTTCAGGTGAAGCACGGTCAGCAAGCTGGAAGAGATGATATGTCACTGTCTCTGCTGCCAGAGTGATTTTCACACTAATCTTCCACAGTGGTTGAGGGGATCCCCCCCAGCATCCTCTGCATTAAGTGGGGTTACCCCTGCCTGTGCCTGGAGACAACTGATCTCAGCTGTGCTTCATGGCCCTGCAGAAAGAAGGCTTTTGTTCCTTTCCAAACCCTCCTTATCATGCCTTGATGAAAGATGCTGAACGTGACCATGAATACTCTGTGTTGTAAAGTGCCTTTGAAATAGCTCACATGATGTTGTCTTGCTATCTTTCCTGCATATTACAAAACTTGAACCCAGATGAGTTTCTCTACCAAATACTAGCACGAGGAAGATGAGACAGGTTCAATTTTGATGATTGTTTTCCAAACCTGTGTCCCAAGCATCTAGTGTCAACTAGTGGGTCTGAGATTAACTTTTGTGGGTGATATATGCTGTTAAAATAGCATATTGCCACTTGTGTATCCATGAAGCCTGTGAATATTGGATTCAAACTTTTCTTGTTTTGTTTGATGTCAGTGGACAACTCCTGAAATCCATATTCAACAGAATTTTTTGGGGTCCCACCATATGAAGGTTTATCCACTGACATGAGACCTAAGTGATTTCTCAGTGACAGGTCTGAATTTACTCTTCTCTTCCATGTTCTTTTCCTTTTTCAAATTTTCATCAAGCAGTTTGTAGTTCTATGTCATTTTTTTTCAAAACATCAAGTAATTTGATTTTAATATCACTTTCATGCTACATGGTGAGCAACATTCTAATTGGCTATTAGTCTGGTAGTCACTACTGCAAAAGGCATTCCCACTCTTACAGTAAGATACAGGTAATTTGTTACTGGTTTTATAGATTGTGTTTGGCAACAGCATAACACAGAATTTCATAACAAAACAACATAGCATATATTCTTGCAAATTAGAAGACACTGTAAAACTACAGGTAAAAAAGCTCTTTTGGTAACTGAACTCACTTAAACATGCAGATTGAGTTTTCTTCCTAAACAAACCATTGGCAAAGAACCACATTATAGTTGGCTTTCCTTATCTCATATTTATTTCCTGCTGTTAGTAAATTTTCTAAAAAGTGGACATGGTATATTTTCTTGCTTCTCTGGGCAGTCTCCTACAGACACAGAAATAGCTCAATTTACAGTATTTTTATAATACCTTTCTAAGAATTCTGGAGTAATTCTAACTGGGGATAGGAAGGTTGCTCATGCAGAATAAGCGCTGGCGCACTTGATACATAACAGTTTAGAGCCACAACCTTAAATTCATATATTCTCTTTAATACAGGGTCCCTTTTCCTACTCTATTAATGGGCATTTGGGCTGGAGATAAAGAATTCTTTAATACACTTCAGAAGATAAATAAGCCCTTAATAACATGCAATGAAACTCAGCCAAATTTTTGGACCAGTGTCCTGTATGAGGGCAGGGTAGTACCTGTCACACAGTCCCTTCCCAGATTTGATCCTGTTCCTGTTATTGCTTGGATTTTTTTATTTGTTTCTATACAATTTGTTTAGATGTTTCAACAAATATCCCAAAGTAGATTTAACACATTGATATTACATTTGCTTTACCCCATCAACCAAACTCCTGTGTAATTTGCTCTGACAGTCAATAGCAAGTTTTACTTGGGGGATGTTGTAATAGAAAATGCCATTTTTTAGCATCAAGGACCACCAGAATTTCCCATACTTGCTATTCATATCCCACTGTGGATCTTACATGTTATGGCAAAAAGAGGAGCAAAAAAAGTGTGTTAGCTAGAAATCACAGCCTGGTAATTCACAAAACAACAAATGCTACCAATTGTACCCACAAAAATAATCTTTGCAAATTTAAACAAACACTGAGATGCATAATTGTGTAAACTCCTTTAAATTCACATTTGTCTTGCTGCAACTCTTCCCTGTCTTTAGGACAGCTCTCCTCATTTTCTGTAACTGGATCATTTTTAACATTACATTTGAAGATTGTTTTCCTCACTTTCCAAAAGGAAAGTACATTCTTCCAGCCTCCTGTGCCCAGGATGAGAAGCTCTTGGCTTCAGGTGGCTTCCCAGGCCACTGCCACAGAGGCTTTAAAGGCACTGGGAAAATGCAGAAAATAATCATTGTGGCCATAACATTTTTTTTTCTGATGCAGAAAGACCAGACAGAGATTTTTATTTAAGTCTTATGACATTGGCCAAACTTTCAGTTATGAGTTTATTGAAACATGTCAATGGTCATCATAGAGCTATAATGAAGGTGATTGACAGATCATCCTTCAGCACCTAAATAAAGGCTAGAGCTGGCACATACAACATACTATACAGTAAACCTGTAACACTGGGACTCCAGAACCATTCTGGAAAAGAGTTTAAGTTTAGAAGAAAAATCCACTCTTCTTTCTCCCCACTCCCCAATACATGCTTCAGCTAATTTGAAGTCCTGATTAAAAAAGAAGAAACAACAGTGTTTAGGAATAGAGATAATTAGATAATTTAATTTAATTTGTGGGTTTTTCCAATGAAAAGTAAACAGATTTCATGCAGTGATGAAAGTTCTGTGAATTGTAGCAGTAGTGAAACTGGCAGTAAAATCTTATTAAAGAAATAAGGATTTACCATTGCCATTTACCAAATTTGCCCAGAATGGTACACACATTTTTTTCAAAAGACAGCAGATGTGTTTCCTAATCAGTTAGCTCAGCTCCCATCAAGCTGTTAAAGTGCAGATTGCTTATTTGAGGAGTATGACTGTAGCCCCTGTAGTGCCGTCTAGCTCAAAACCCATTAGGCAACAAATTCAGAGCCTTTTGTCTGAGAAACTCACATGAGGTCCTTGTTCTCCTTCCCTCATCAGAAGATGCAGTTTCATTCTGTCATCCCACTTTCTGAAAGGTTAGCTCTAATTTGTCCCTATGCTGCTTATTTCTCTGTACTGTGTTCCTTGGCATTGGGTATGGCCAGCCTGGCCTGGTCTCCAGAAGCCAGAGGGCCATCTGGCCCTCCTATACACTTGCACGTTTTTTGGCACTATGCTTATATTCTGTCTCACTGCTGAAGTGGCAAAAAAGGAAAAACAGAGAAAAGAGGAAGAAAGATGAGGCAGCCAGGCAACATAAAGGCAGACTTGCTTTTCTTTGGTTAATTTTCTGGGGAGGGGGGGTTGTTATTACCAGGCTATACTTAAAATGTCTCTGTGAACATTCAAGAGGGCTTGGCTTGAGTTATGACTTGCAGGCATCTGTGCTACTTGAAAAATGGCAGATGCTTTTTTAAAGTGTCAAAAGCTGCTGCCCGAAGCACAAGGAAACACTCAGCAGACCACGGATCTGTTAAGAAAAATTCTTTCTTCTTTAGATTGAAAGGACCTCAGAAATATGTGAATTCCTCTGACTAGATACAGCAATATCCACTGATTAGTGTTTTAGGGCAAGAGTCACGATGCTGCATAGATTCACAGAACTGAAAGCCAGAAAGGACCCTTAGGTGATTAAATCCTACCTCTCAACCTAGCCTGTTACTTTCATCTTCTTGAGCATAGTTATTAGTGATAGGCTGAAGTGTGTCCTTCTGGAAGGCATCCAAAAGATAGAAATAAATCCAGACAAATTAAATTAAACTATGTTTCTATAGGTGTCTGTCTGTGTTTTTTCCTTCAATCCCTTTCTCACATGAGAAGCTGGATCAAGTGGTTTCACACCTACTGTGAAAGTCAAGATTACCCATATGAGCAAGGGCTTGAAAGGTCAGACCTTTTCCTGAGTGCACAATGAGAAGCAATGGCTATGTGCCAGTATGATTAATCTGTATTTGCATTCCTGTGTCCACAGGTTCAGAATAGCGTTAGGATTTAGAGGTGAGGAACACAGTTACCAAGAGGATGCAGAATTTGAATTTGCTGTGAAGAACATCTGAAATCTGTGATACCTACAGCATGTTTGCTACCTCATCTACTTGAAAACACCCCTCTGCAACTATTTGACACCCAGACAGGAGTGAAATGGAAGTTGCCATGTACAGCCAGGGAGGCCTCTTCTTGGTGCATTGATACCTGTTTCTCTGTTTTCCAGAAAAAGGTGGCAGAGCAGCCCAACCGGAGCCCCTCCATATGGTTAGCCATGTACAGTGCTTTTGGACGACCAATTCTTCTCAGCAGCACGTTCCGTTACTTGGCTGACTTGCTGGGCTTTGCTGGGCCATTGTGCATTTCTGGCATTGTCCAGGGCTTCCAGAACACAACCAATAATACAAATACAACAGAAAAGGTAACCTGACAGCATAGATTGAAAGACTTTGTTTTCGTAGTAGCTCTGGATTCATATCGGGTATTTA